CAATGACTAAAGTCAGGATAGGGAATGGTGAACCATTGCAATGACAACCAGTTCAGGTACAAAAACTATTTCAGATGTTCTTTATGTACCCGATATTGATCAAAATCTGCTGAGTGTTGGCCAGTTAATTGAAAAAGGATTTAAGGTGTCCTTTGAAGACTTGTATTGTCACATCTACGATGCCGTTGGAAAGGAGATTTTACGTGTCAAAATGAAAGGGAAAAGCTTCTTATTTGATCCTACAGAGGAGGAGCACACAGCTTATTCCACCAATGATCATGGACAACTAAACTTATAGAGAAAATGCTTTATGTGCTTTTACATGTTGAATTTGAATATTAGAAAATTCAACGAAAGTGGGAATGCATTTAAATAGATTATATTTCATTAAACGTGTAGTAGTTCTTACTGCAACAGTGCACGTCATTGGGGGTAAATTTAGGGGTACGGGTCTTGAGCATTTTTCTTTTCCTGGAACCTATGAGAATTTGAAAACAAGCAATATTGCTGCATGGTCTTGCCAATTTATTTCTGTTAGGCACACTTCTTTTCTTTCTGTTTTTTTGAAGCAAGCATTATATTGTGGGTTGCAGGTGGTTCGTGCTGTTGGAGGAAAAATTCCTGTTCTCATTGATGGAGGAGTGAGGCGTGGTACAGATATTTTCAAGGCATTAGCTCTTGGTGCACAAGCTGTTATGGTAAACTCTGGCCATTTGAAATTCTGTGCCTTTTTGTAGTGTGTTTTAGTGGAATGGCATGCAATTTTTTTTGTGCATCAATTTGTTCGGAAGGATTTCAATGCAAACTCTGATGAGGCCAAACTGCTTTTCCGATTCCTAATTTTATGATTTCATTTATACTGTTGAAGATTGGAAGGCCAGTCCTCTATGGATTAGCAGCAAAGGGTGAAAATGGGGTGCGACGAGTCATTGAAATGCTGAAGGATGAGTTGGAGCCCACCATGGCCCTATCTGGCTGCCTTACCGTGAAGGATATCACCAGAAGTCATGTGAGGACAGAGTACGACAGATTCAACTGTAGGCTTTAGTTTAGATAAAGTTCTAAGTTGTTGTCGTTGTTGATGTTATTTATCTTGGATATGCTCATACTGATAACTAAGACCCCTAGTTCTGTGATGATTGTCACTTTAAATACATTTTAGCTTGTGGATTGTATTGTCAAGTTTTATATATTACAAGAACCAAACATGTAATGCTGTGCATATGGAATTTCCTCTCTTCCCAACTAGTTATCAGACAAGAGGCTCTTGGGACAGAAATTTTGAGTTGGTGAGAAAATCATAAATGTATGTGTAGCTTGACAGAAGCACTCTTGCACAGAATACCCAAACCTTTCACAACAGAGGCCCATAAGCTATGCATAGAATGCAATATTTTATAAGAGAGTGGGTCCCTCATTATGCAGAGAGTCTTTCACAACTGAGTGGGATCCGCACAATGACTGCCCTCTTAAGTGCCCTACTGTCTTACCATAGACTCAATCACAATCCTGCCGAATCCGTTAAAACCACACCGATTTGCATTAATTTGTACTGCTTTAACCGCTAATCACAGTTTGAAATATTATTTTTTAATTTCTAATGAAATATTAATGTTAAAATGAGAGAGAGAGATTTAAGATATGAAATTTATTACAAATTAGTGGTTATATATATGAAACATATTATGTAAAATTACTTTGTGGTATATATCTAAAAAATATTATACCAATTAGTGTTATATATTATGCAAATGTATAATAATTAGTTAGAATATTTTTCAATTCGACAATCCGTCAAAAACTGCTCAAACCACAATTTGTCAATCTGCTAAGCCGCTATTCGGTTTTTAATTTTACTCTCAAACAGTCCGAACCGCACTGTACACACCCCTAGACTCAGTGTTACTCAACTCGCTGTTTGGTTCAATTAAAATTGTTTTAGGTATGCGTTATAAAGTTTATTTTTTTGTTTATCATGAAAAGATATGTAAAAAAGTAAAGATATGATGTGAATCACTTGAGTCAATAATCCAATACGATGGTTTTTTCAGTTCATCTCAAAAGAGACCTTAGTTTATATGCATTGGGCTTGTTTGGAAAAGGCTAAAAATTAGCTTTTTAGGCTAAAATTTACAAAAAGACAAAATAGGTCAAAATAGCAAATAAGACGAAATGTCACATTAAATCCATAATCATTTTACTTTTTTTCTCATAAATATCACATCCAACTATAAAAAAAAATCTAATCATCTTCCCAAACATAAAAATTTTAGTTTACTAAAATAATTAAAAACTAAAATAGTCTACTAAAATAGCCAACTTCCCAAACAAGGCCATTATAAAAAAAAGGGCTTGGGGTCTCTCTAGTTGGGAAACCCAACTGGATGGTGCTCTTGGGCTTTTTTATACCCACCACAGAGGCCGCATCGATAATCTGAACCGTTGAATATGTAGAGCTCATTGATTACTTCATTCCTATTAAAAATTATGTTAATCAGATATCGATAGCCACTTGATCGGATTATATTTGTGTTAACAATTTATTTTTAAAATTATATTTACTGTTAACACAAATGTAATCTGATCAAGTGGTTATATAACGTGATTTTTTTATAGGAATGAAGTATTCGACAAGCTCTATACATTGAACGGTTTAGATCATCGACGTAGTCTCCGTGGTGGGCCCACGAAGGCCAACAGCTCTCTCCAATCCGATTTGGATTAGAGTGAAGCCTCTCTCATAAAAAAAATAAAGGAAAAAGGTTGAGACCCATTTTTTCTTGACCCCCCCCACCCCCTATGTATTGGGATTGTCCAACTTTTTGTTTTTTGTTTTTTGTTTTTTTTTTCCCTCCCATCACTCACTGACATGTGTCTGTGGGGTTGTGGGAGTCAAAGAAAAAAAGGGTCTCTGTCATTTCTGAAAAATAAATTATTTGAGCTCAACTTATGTTCTCATTATTAATTGTTTTTTAAATCAGTTCATTAGATAAATAAGTCACATTTAAACATCTTTTTTAACTATTAAGTTTTTAAATCAATCTTAAACAATTTTGGGCCCTTTCCTATGATAATTGGTGGGCATCTACACTACAATTATCTAATTTGATGAATTTTTTTTATATTTATAATTAATCCCAAATGACAAACATATGAGTAAATTATAGAAACCTCCTTTGAAATTTGAATAAAATACAAATAATTCCATAATTTTGATATAATTACACTAAGCCCATAGAGTAACAACAAAATTAACAGAGCTAATCATCATTACAAAATTCCATTTTTGCCCTTCTACAATAACATGAAAGGGCCTTTTCACTTTTTTTCTTTTCTTTTTTTAAACACTTTCCCTCTATTTTTTTTCTCCATAAATTCCGATTCAAATCTAAGATACAAACACAAAAATTTATGTAAAAAAAAGGAAAAAGAAAAAAAAATACATTTTTTAAGTAGACAATATTCATTTCGCAGTGTTTCTACTTCCAATTCTGATATGCACGCACACATTCAAGTCAGTCTCTCAAGTTTAACATTGGATTATTTGATAATTAAATTATTGTAATATAGTCTAGGTTACTGGAATGTTAACATTAACTAATGGCTGTAATGGCATCTGAACCAGCCAATGTGAATGAGTTCCAGGAACTGGCAAGGCAAGCCCTTCCAAAGATGTACTTTGACTTCTACAATGGGGGGAGCTGAGGACGAACACACACTAAGAATGAATGTGGAAGCATTTTGCAGAATCATGATAAGTGTAACACCTCTTATTCTTATTAGCAAACAACCACACCATTTTAAATCACCTTTCTTTGAACTTTCTCAGTATTTTGCCGAGAATTCTTGTAGATGTGAGCAGAATAGATATCTCAACTACTATATTGGGTTACCATACTTCAGCACCAATCATGATTGCTCCAACTCCAATGCATAAATTGGCTCATCTTGAAGGTCTAAATTCAGTTACAAGAGCTTTTGAGTGAAATTTTTGTGTAGTTCTGATTTCAGCTTTTGTCTGTACCAGGAGAGGTCGCGACAGCCCGAGCAGCAGCTTCACATCATGGTATTGATTCTTGAATCTGGAGCTCCTTTGTTTACTTTGTGTCCTTGAATACTGAGTTGTCCCTCATTGTAGGCCATGTCCTGTTCGTCTACCTGCACTGTGGAGGAGGTTGCTTCGAGCTGCAACGCTGTTCACTTTTTTCTAATACAGATATTCTACTATCTTGGCCCTATTGAATTCAAGTTTGTTCATAGGAACCTTCATCGTTCTTTACATGCACCATTTAATATTTTCTTTATTGTGATCCCATTTGTAGTAGCCGAATTCACAGTTTGGTAATCCTTTGTTTATAGGTATTTAAAAGAAGGGATGTGATAGCTCTGTTAGTGCAAAGAGCCGAGCGAAATGGTTTCAAGGCTATTATTCTTACTGTTGATGCTCCTAGGTTTGGTTGAAGAGAGGCAGACATAATGAATAAGTGAAATTTTGTTTCTCTCTCTTCAATGCCCGTCACATTTTGTTACCTTTTATCACCCTTATATTTGGAAACGGTTTGATACTTTAGTATCTAACATTATAAGAATTTTCCCCCATGCATCATGATTCTAATCCAAACACGATCATTCCATACAGAATGATTGTGCCTCAGTTGAAGAACTTTGAAGGTCTCTACAATTTGGTTTCTGACCACGTGTTTTGGAATGCGTATATTCATGATCGCTCTTCCCAAAAACTAAAAATAATAGTGAATCATAATTAATTTGTAATTTGAAATCTTACCTTGGGTTTAATCTGTGTGACTCTTGATAGTTTGATGATTAGAGAGACCTTTTGTGAAAGTGATAATTTGCCTTCTCAAATTGTGCATGTGTATGTATATGGCTGCAAATGTGGTTCGAATCGATGCCAATAATGAAAAGATGAAGATTACATTGAGGCGCTCATGTAAAATTTATATTTTTGTAGATTAATAACATTGACCACTCACTTTTGCAGGATAAGGGCTCACGCCTTGAAGCCATTGCAACGGGGATGCTCGATGCTTCTCTGTCTTGGAAGGTATAAAGCAATAACCTACATGTTGTTATTGAAAATTTGGTTTCACAGTTAATTTGGACCCAAAAGCACTCAACTCTCATATTTCACTCAATTTATATGTTGGTGTGATCTCATAGTTAAAAAGTTTTTAACTTTTAAATAGTAAACACAAAGGTCATAAGATGACTTCCTTTATGTTAATCTGTAAGAATTTATGTATTATTGATTGATTTCTGATTGATGTATTTGTGTAGATTACAATTACAAGGATTCCTATTATATAGGAGTGTGTTTGGGAGTAGGTGGAGAGTAGGTGAAGTGGAGGTGATAGTGGTTGGAGAGTAGGTGAAGTGGAGGTGGTAGTGGTGTAGTGGGTTAAGTTTAGTGGAGTAGGTGAGGTGGTAGTGGTGGTAGGTTTATGGTAAATTCTAACAGCCCCCCGCAAACTCAAGGGGGATAGGAACTAACCAACTTGAGTTGGGAGATAGTAACAAAACAAGAAAATACATAAAAAAATATGGTCGTGTCAGACCATTGGTGAATACACTGTATGGTGGTGTCATAACGTTGTAGAGGACACTGTATGGGAGTGTCATAACTTTGTAGAGGACACTGTATGGGGGTGTCATAACGTTGTAGAGGACACTGTATGGTGGTGTCATAACGGTGTAGAAGACACGGTATGGGAGTGTCATAACTTTGTAGAGGACACTGTATGGGGGTGTCATAACGTTGTAGAGGACACTGTATGGTGGTGTCATAACGTTGTAGAGGACACTGTATGGCGGTGTCAGACCGATGTAGAAGACAGTTTATGGGGTCATGTCCGAC